CCGTTGCGCTCACCACGCAACACTCTCTGTCCGAGAAAGTTGGCACTAACTTCGCCGACAAGCGGCGGTCGCTCGGTCGGTATTGTTCGCTTGCGGACTACAGCCACGGAGTTTGTTTTGCTTTGTAATCTACTTTAACACCGGTCACGGTAGCCGAGCGGCCTAAGATATGAAATGTCTTCCCTCGCTCGGAAGGAGGGATCGTTGGTTCGAATACAAGTCAGGGCACGGATGTTTAGTGTTTGTGTGTGCGTGTGTGCGTTTTTCTGTGTTTGTGTACAGGTAGAGGCCTTGCGACGAGCTGATCACCCGCCTACCAAGTCCTACAGAACGTCTAAGATCTAGTGAACCGAAGTGAAACGGAAAGTTTCATGGAGGTAGGCCAAGGCCAAAATTGGGGCTCTAGCGCCAAAAGAAAAAAAAATTCTGCTTTAGCTGTCCTTCATGCCCTTTCGATATGAAATTAAGGCATTTAATTCTATATAACATATTAAGTAAGTAAGAAAGTCAAGGAAATAAAACTTCTTATGGAAAAGAAAATAATCGTTCAGATAATCGAGAAATGCCATGCCTTTTTACTGAACCCAAAGACGTCATACGGTGACAATGAGACTCTTTCACTTGATCCTACCCTTAAGCAGCCTTATCCAGTATTTCATCACATTTTCTCGATGCCCTTACTCAAATTCTTAGGTTAGTACCTTGGCTGAACCATCACTACTTCTTGAAAGTTGTTTCCAGTTCATCCGCCGTCCGACCATCCGATAGTTTATGTAATGACAGCATCTCAAAGCGTACCACAAACTACTCCTTGATCTATCTACTGTTAACCCGCTTCCACATCAGGAATCTACTGGAGAAAGTCAGTAAATAGGTCACAAATGGATATAAAACGTAAAGCATGTGATATTCTAACGTGAAAAAATTATTTCTCGACATATCCTCCACCAACATTAATACATTTGTCCCATCGCTTTATCAGTGAGTCGAAACCCTCAGCTTAGAAGTTTTTCGACTGTTCTCTCGGACACTTCTGCAACTCCTTTCAACTTCTTCGTCATCAGCGAAATATTTTTCAACTAGGTTTTCTTTTTCAGACCAAACAGATGGAAGTCACACTTTCCACTGTCAACAGGAAATATTTCTTTATGAATATCATTTGCTTTGAACCCTTTTGCACATAAAAAACGTATAAATGAAAGCTGCTCTTCGGTGTTACACTCCTGAAGAATGGTCGCCATTTTGACTACTAATACCAGCCTCTGAATATGCGTATGGGCGTCTGCTACCTAGACTTTCACTCCTGAAGAATGATCGCCATTTTGACTACTGATACCAGCCTCTGAATATACGTATGGGCGTCTGCTACCTAGACTTTCATGAAACTTGACTGTGCTGCTACATAGTGATACATATAAAACATATTACAGCTGTTTACTTCCATTTGTGACCTATTTACTGCCTCTTCCTCATATTAATGTTCCTACTTCTTGGCAGCGGGGCACGCGGTAGCGTAGTGGTTGAGGGGCTACGCTAGAAGCCAGAAGGTCGCGGCTTCACGTCCCGATGAAGTCACTGGATTTTTTTCAGTTGACCCAATCCTTCCAGCCCTGGGGTTTACTCAGCCTCTAACAGAAATGAGTACCAGGAATTAATTAAATAATTTTCCTGGGGAGTAAAGCGCGGCCGGCGCGTAAGGCTGACAACTTACCACCATCTTTGAGCCGATTGTCTAGATAATGTGGGACCCTCAACGTCTCACAACCCTATGGGCCTTCACGGCCTGGTACAGGGATAGCTTTACTTTTTTTTTTTTACTTCTTGGCAGCACGGTCCTTATAACCAACCATTGGCCGTTTACCTAAATTTCTCATTCAAAATTCATCTTTATGTTTTCTGACAAAACAGCGTCTTCAGAGGGGAAGTTATCCTCACGCCTAGCTCTCAATGTGCATTGGCAGGCTGCTATCTAGGTACCCCGTGCCGTTCAACATGTCCAGCCAGGATGATTCTCTCAGTAGATAATGGTCCCAATGACATAGGCCTCCTCTTAATTAGGATATGCAGATCTGACAACAGCGGTAAAAGGTTTCAGTCCAAAGGGATACAAATTTGGTAGAAGAAATTATTTTAATTGGGATTAAATAAGTGGACAAGAATATTAAAAATAATTATTTAATTACAGCTATTCTATAATTACATCAAAGGAACACAATTTAATTATTACATATACACATTATTTTTGGTATATATAAAATGTCCCACCAAACATTAAGAAGTATACTCTGTCTAAAACATCATTTAGGTTGCGTCATATTTTCGGAAGGCAACCTTACGGGAGAAAATTCCCGTCGTGTGTCTTAGGCACACAATATGAAGCATCCATATTTATGAAAGCAAGCCACAGTACAAATTATTTGTTAACAAGAATCGAAGAGCCTCAAGACGGGCTACCATTGCCTGAGAGTAAGGTTGGCAAGAGCGTATGCTTTGTCTGCAGCAGCTTTGAGGGTACTTCATATATTAAGTAAGAATATAGATGAAGAATTCTGTGTTAAGGAATCTCCGGCGGGGGGGGGATTTTGGTTCTCATTTTTCACTAAAATGAATTCGAGCAATTTTATTTTGATAACATCACAATCTGGATCGATATTTCATGACGTTCTAACCACAAATATGTTTTACATACAGCGTGAACCTAATACAGAGGTTTCAATTTATGACGCTGCGGACGTAGAGAGCGAGCCATCGAAGACGGTTCATTCCAAGCATGTTAGCAGCGTTATAAATTGAACACTCTGTATATAACAAACTATGACCATACATACATCTGAAGGATACGGATACACCATATGGAATTCAGGCATTTGTTAACGGTGACTGAGTAGAATCATGAATAAGATTCTCTGGTCAAGAATTTGAAACATAGAACTACTAAATAAGATATCGGAAAATAAAATAATAAAATATTTATTTTTCATAATTTATCGTGCCGTAGTATGTGACAATTCACATTAAATTTAATACGTAATTTTGGGGGAATGTTTTAAAAAGTTTTGAAAATCTGCAATTTCTTTTCATAAACATGAATGAATGAAAGTCAACAATTTTGTTCTTTACAATTCAGTACCTTTCTATATGTAAGGCACACAAAACTTTTAACAAAATTAGGCAATTTCGGGCATCTGTATGAAGATATCTACACTTTTCTTTGCTTCAAGTCAAAAATTTATCGTACAGAAATACTAAATTATATTTCAGTTAGTGAAATCGAAACAGCGATTTTGAAAGTACAATATAATACAGTCTGTGTTTCTAGAACTGGTCCTTCTCAACAGAATGCGCAGTGGATTCTGTCAAATCCACTAACTGACATGAAGGCCGCGCCATAGCTCAAGCGGTTAGTCGCTGGCTTCCCACCGCGGCTGCCCGGATTCGATCCCGGGTCTGGTCAAGTGGAATCTGTGGTGAACAAAGTGGCGCTGGGGTGGGATTTCTCCGAGTACTTCGGTTTCCCCTGCCAATCTCCATTCCACCAAATTCTCCATCATCATAATCACCCAGGGCAGGTGCAATAGGCCAATCAGTGGCCGCCGTGCCGAGTGGACCCAGCTGGACTCCACCCCCACTAAGCGAATTAGAAAAGGTCTGATATGGACATTACAGGTTTTGTGTAGATTATATCAGAGGTTTCTTGTTGCGGTGAGTCACCTTCCCTTCCTCCTACAAAGCAGCTGCAACCACTGCCATACTTGTAACTCAGAAGCCAGATCTAACAGGACAGTCTGCTGTTTACAGCCATGAAAATAAATTGCTTCCTAACTTATGTATTCGGATTAGTTTTAAAAGAGAATTATCCTGGTTGTCTTTAATTATCCTAAATAATAAATATATTTTATTATTTTAATGATTTGGGATAATAAAATGTTATCCTACTTACACGTAGACATAATTTTATTTGATATTATTACTGCTCCATATTTTAATATATAGAATTGTCACCTTCCCGCGTTGGGCCCAGAGTTTCCGAAGTATAGATCAGTATCTCTGAGATCCATGTTTAGCAACTGGTTCTTCGGCTCAATACATGAAATCGTTGTTTCACAGTTAGACAATTTTATTACACTATTTTTAATTTTTAAGAAAGAAAAAAACGAAATTACTTTTAAACATTTGGAAAAAATATTTTAAAACATTTTACACGAAATTTTACATCCCCCTTTGCAGCCCTGTGCGATATATCTGTTGATTAAAAATTATCAAAGTGACAATTTTGTTTATTAATATCTTCATTTTCTACGTATGCCAACAATTATTTTAATCTAAATATGCATACTGTGCACACCGGAAAATATTAAATGCGAAACAAGTAGAGTGAGGACACCTTAACTCCCCAATAGTAATTGCTTGAGTTATATATATATACAGTATATATATAATTATGTACTGTAAAGTACACAGTTTCTTGCCGATTTTGAAATTAGAGTTTTTAAACGAATCACTTGTGACCAATTTAATGACAGATTAACACAACGAATTTCGATTGCGTTTACTGGCACAATTTCCTTAAATCCACTTCATATTTTCCATGAGTTATCTGTTTTGAGTTATAATTTTACATAACGAAAAGATTAGGGATTTTCTTTGACGATGTAGACGGACAGAAATAAACCCGCGCTCTGCGAATTATAATAGTTTTAGAGACTGTAAAATAGCCAGACTTTCAGTAACCATATATATATATATATATATATAACATTTCCTAACAGAGTAATATGTTTCATAAATTTTAAGACTTTTGAAGCAGATATTTTATATCGTTGGGGTATTTAATTTGGTATGTCAATATTTATGGTTTAATTTACACACTTCAATCCTTGCAGCTGCCCTATGATCCTAAGGTGGACTCAGACTCTAACAGAAATGAGTACCAGAAATCTTCCTGGGGTAAAGGGTAGCCGGAGCGTAAGGCTGACAACCTCACCGCCATCTGTGGGGAGATTATATAGAAAATGTGCGAGCCTCGACCTCTCACATTGGCCTCCACGGCTCGTTACAGGGATAGCCTTACCTTTAATATTGCAGTATAAAATGTATCATAAGATGCCGTAATACGTACTGTAGGCTCTTACATCCATTGCAAATGAGTGAACAAAGTAATTATATTTATGTCGTTTAAAATCAATTTGAATGGCTTACATACAATCACAGGTATATAGTTTCCACTACGAATACGAGAAATTGACATTCCTGTACACTAAACAATGGTTGCATTATTTAATTATTAGTTAAATGCTAACTTACGTGAAATCTATTTGAATATTAGTAATTTATATATCATAGAACTTAATAATACTTGCGACTAGAAATGTAGTACTTTAAAATGCCAATTAAATAGTTTATAAATGAAGAACTTTCTTCACTATAAGAATAAATGTTTTCCTTTGTACAATTTAAGCATTGTAATCTGTTTATCTATACATGAAGATAACAATCTCGCTTAACCCTACAAGTGCCGAGTGTCGAAAATTTCGACTCTTACAAATGTTGCTACGTTTTGTAGCATGTGACATCTATTGGCATCTTATTATAACTACGTAGTCGAGAAACATATGGAGCGATCTTTTTCACAAATCTGAAGTTAATAAGGACTTCATATGCATATATAATGTAACGTCAGCTCCTTTCGTGCGAAGAGTTCGTGGGGACTCCGTTGGAGACGCCACTTGACGGCTTGTATGAGCGCTGAATGCTGACAGCAGAATATGATAACGAATGGCGCGGCACGTTGAGATAAGAAATAAAAATAAACGTTGTTGAATTTTCAAAGGACGCTACACCAGAACATATATATACATATATATAATTGAATTATTAATTTAGCAATTTCTTTAAGTTGATGTTTGTATACAATAATACTAGCGCTTGTGGAGTTAAAGTTATGCAAAAATTCTTAAACTTCAGAAATCATTATGAGAATTATGAAACATGTCACATATTTTGGAATGCTCTTTCGTTGTCTAATTAAAACAAAATACAGCACTTTTATTCCTCTGTATATTGGAATAAGGTTTTTTAGTTTTTTACCAAATACGAGAAACTGGCATCCGATCTTAATGCCCTCCTTGCCCTTACCGTTGACCTCATGATTTTCCATCATTTGCTGGAACTCTCGAAATTTAAAGCCAACCATTAAAATCATTCGTTCATTTTCCTGGGTTTGGAAGGAATATTCTTTGACGAAACTTTTCAGTAACTTCTCATTAGTAATTTATCTTCAGTTGAAAACTTCTGTAATACATTTACATTGTTTAATCCTGAGAACACGCCTTTTTCTTATCTGTGGACTCAATGAGGGACAGTTAAGTGTAACAGTGATCCAAGATGATTTTTTCGGTTTGCAGAAAGCACATGATTTGAAAGCTGGAGCGTCGGTTTCATCTTCTTCCTCAGGTTCCCTGCGTCCTGTCCTACGTCGGCGTGGATTCCTGGGTATATAAAACGAATTACATTGCCCATAACAAAAACGGTTGATGACCGTCCGTGTAAGGCATCCATCCTCACGAATTCTCTGCACCAATGGTTCGGTTTTACACCAATCACGCTTCAGATATTCCTTCTTAGTAACCATGAGAGCATTCTTGCCAGATTTGAGAAGTTTGTCTCCACTGTAACCACCCAATTCCGCCAAAATATCGTGTGAACTATGCGGGAAAGTTTCGTTACTTTTCTTCAGAAGAGATTCTAATCCAATGGTATGAGTTTTACGTGATGCTCCCAGTTGTCGGCTGACGAACTTCCGGGCACCGGAATTGTTCAGCTGTTGTCGAAAATCATATTCAGAATCCTTTTCTGAGACGTTGTCTTCTTGCTCAGATATTTCGATATCTTCTAAAGCGTTTTGTCCAAGGTAACGCCTCTCCTCCCTGCTAATATTTTCTTTTCGTGCAGCCAAAAGTCTTTCCACTTCTTGAGTATTAATGATTTCTAATATGGAGTCCATATCAGTTGCCGACTCATGGTTGTTCTCTGCGTGTGCTGCCACGATGGACGCCAAGCCGAGCCACATGTAAGCCATTGCGCATGCGTGAAGCCATATATTTCCTGACTGATGGTTGTGAATCGCCATTTTCTGAAACAAGGTAAAATTGATTCATGAAGTCTTAATGTTAATGGAAACTTCTTACCCATCATTAAATGTTATTAGAATGGTCAAACCAAGGTATACAGCACGCGTAGGAGAAATATATGTACACATTTTTATAGGAGAACCTGAAGGAAGTGGGCCACATATACCGCAAAGGAATATCCCACTAACAATGAAAAGTATATAGATTTATGACAGGGCTTTTTGATTTGTTATGTTGGTACTGGTTACATGTCTCAGCCTACTGTGTACTACTAGTTGAGGGTCGACAAGTTGGGCTGTAGTTATCAGAGCAATGCAGTGCAGTGCAGTGCAGTCGGAAGCAGGAGGTAGGCATGTCCGTAAACAATAACTATCTTCTGATTCGATACGCATTAAGGAAAATGAATTGTGCATATCGCTTGACTTAAGGTTAAAGAACACAGAATGAACTCCGGCCATGACACCTTATATAGACTTAGAATATATACCAAAAAAATTTATCGTAATACGTATGTTGTATTTTAGCGTCCTGTTGCACTGATTTTCGTCCATGATATGTATGCCGTGTCCGTCTTGTAGTGCACTCAATTTCACAACACCCGCAGCCAGAAAGGGAACACACATCACGAGACACGATATACACGGAGTATAAGAGGAACGACTCCCATAGTGGAGGAACCATGCGCGGGTTTGAATTGGGACACATAAGATGAATATCTTAACAAGATTTTAGTGTATAACAATTTATTATAATTGACAAATATTTTTAAATATTTTTTAAATAATTTTACAATGACATAATGGCAAGCAATCCAATAGATTAACGTAAATGGAGCACCTGATGATGGCACTATGTTGCCGAAACATGTTGTGAAGTGACAGGTGAAATTGAGTGCACTACAAGACGGACGCGGCATAAATATCATGGACGTAATACGTACAAGTATGTTTGTTGCCAGAAGGCAACAGAATGAATTTCAGCTTTGGTTGTACGACAGATCATGGAATATCTTTCTTATATCATCATCATCATCATCATCATCATCAGTAATCTGTCAAGACGACAGGTCCACAGTCTCTTCCAAAATAATTCCTCCATATAATGCGATCTAGAGCTTTCTCCTTCAAATGACAGTATCCTCTTCTGTCTCCAAGGTCATCCAGCATCTTCTTACGTCTTCTTCCTCGTCTTCTTGTCACTTCTATCCGCCCCTCTATCTTTCCTTCGATAACTTCTTTTAGAAGGCAGTTTCTGCGTAAAACATAACGAATCCAATTAGCCTTCCGTTTTCTTATTTCGTGTAGGATATTCCTCTGCTCACTGACTCTAATTAACACTTCTTCATTTCTCATTTTTTTTATATTCCATATAAATTTGTTGTTATTACTGTCATTATTATAATTAATTCTAGAGATTATGTTTAAATTTACGTAATCTTTATCTTTTTAAATGTTCTGTTATATATTTACTTGGTTGTTGCTTTGTGCCGATGTGTTTGCTTGTGTTGTGATCACTTTGTGTTGGTGCTGGCTCTGCAATGGACCTGTGGATGCTGAGTTCAGCGCGTAAATAAATACAGAATTTGATTAAATTAAACTATTAAGTATCTAGCATGGTGATCTAGCTTTAATACTCTAAGTTCCTGGCTACAGATCCTGAGATCCGGGTTCGATATCCGGCGCTATCATATTTTTCTGAGAAGTAATGGGTCTGGAATGGGGGCCAATCAGCCTCGTGAGTATAAATGAGGAGCCATTTCAAGGAAATAGCGGCTCCGGTCTAGAAAACCGAAATTAACGGCCGTGGGGATTCGTTGCGCTGACCACGCGACACCCTCTATCCGCTAAAGTTGGCACTAACTTCACCGACAAGCGGCGGTCGCTCTGTCGGTGTAGTTCGCTTGCGGACTCAAGCAACGGAGTTTGGTTTTTGTTTGTAGATCCGTGGCTATGTAACGACCGTAAAATAAGCAACTTTACAACTGCCGTTACTAGGCAGAGGCCCGTGAACAGCAACAGAGGAACGGCATCTTATATGCGGTCTTTATCACAAAATTTTCAGAAAGTTTTCCAGGAAATTATAATAAAATTAATTAGATACAGGTGTGACATAGCCCTAAATATTATCTCCAGGTGATATGAAGTACAGTTTTCTCGAAATTTCATCATAGTAACACAATGTTAATTTTGTAATTCATGGACGCTATTATGAACAGAGATTTAGAAATGCTGACAATGCGACAAATGTCACGGATCCGATCTGTGTTGGCACACTGCAGTACACTGAATTGCACTGCACTGAACTGACCACGAGTGCACTATGCTAAACTACACAAGTCGCTGACCTACAGTACACTACACTACATTACACCACACCACACTATACAACACTAAAGCACACTACACTAAAGCGCACGCGGTAGCGTAGTTGGTTGATGCACTATGCTACAAATTTGAAAGTCGTGGGTTCAATTCCTGATGAGGTCATTGGATTTTTTTTTTTCAATTTACTTAATCCTTCCATCCGCAATATGGTCCCGGGGTCGACTCAGCCTCTAACAGAAATGAGTACCAGGAATCTTTCTTGGGGTAAAGCGTGGCCGGCCCTCGAGGCTGAGAACCTCACCGCCGATTGTCTAGAAAATGCGGGAGCCTCGACGTCTCACAACCGTGTGGATCTCCACGTCCTGATACAGGGATCGCTTTACCTTTACCTTCTTGCTTAAGTGTTGGGAAGTGACTATCTGTATAGATGGCAGAACACACGCGAAACAGACACTGCTGTTCAGAACGAGCGCTTGTGAACTACGCTCTGAGTTGAGGAGGACATCCGCTAGTATCAAAGGAATGCATCCATGAAACTTGGGTGCAATCACTGCTCATTGTCGACACTTGCCCTCTTGATGGGTGACGTCACGTGACTTCTATCTATATATATAAGGGCCATAAGGGCGTAAGTACCACTCGACAATAAGAAATCACTTCCCTTATTATGTAGACTAAAGGTCAGTGGCTCCTTACCTTAAATTCTAGACTCCATCATAGATTTTTCTTATTTCAGGGAAAAATTAATTGTACCTTGAGGACGTTTGAACTCATTTATAATTTACTTACCCAGACGTGTCCATCTCTTAGTTTTGTATTCAAAACGTTATATTTTGATTAGAGTACTGAGGGATAAAAGTGTGAATTCGAAATAATATTAATTTAATCTAATTATTTATTTACTTAGGTGTTTACTTAACAACATAAGGGCCAGTTATGAAATTAAAATTTAACTTCGAAATTTAAATATTTTAACGTTCAAATTATTACGCAAACTGAAGTGGATAATGTACAAGAATTCGCCTGGAGGTTGAACACTACACTGCGCTTCTCGTGTGTGGGTGTTAGTTGTCGTTCAGTTGTCTCTGTGTCTTGTTACTGGGTGTTTATGACAGTGAATTATAAGAGTCTTTTGGAGGTTGGTGCGCCTCGTTGTATGCAGATTTCAAGGACAGGTTTGTTGTCGTTGTCCGTTGTTTACTGGAATGGTTGTTCGCGTTTTGTGATTGGGGACTGTCTTAATTTACGTCTCCTACATATAGCCCAGGTAGCTTAGTTGATGTAGCCTACAGGCTGGACCGCGGGGGAACTGGAGTAAGCTTTCCGAAAGGGGCAACAGATGCCCTTCCGCAGCCTGCAGACAGGCTAAGGGAGGGGGTGGACTCCTATCCAAATGGTAACTTGGGTTCCCTCCACGGTGGTAAAGCGACCGAGAAGTAAATCCATACACCCATTCGCACATCCATCCACCCACCCCCGACTGGTGGCTCAGTCTGCAGCCACCTGCTCACGCTGGTTCCTCGCTCGCGGATTTTTCTATCCTGAAGCTGGAGGTGATATGTTCCTCCGAAACGTCGGCTCACACAAGACATACACGGCGCCACATCCCACAAGAAGGCATTCTTCAAAGAAAATATTATTGATGTGTTGTCCTTAGGCCACTCATCTCTTGACAGTTCATTGCATGTCTCCGTGTAGAGACATACAGTAGGACGGGGGGGGGGTGATATTCACACCCATTCATGATTCTTCTTGGTTCTTACATATTCATTCAAGGTTGAATTGTCTGTACCGTGTCTGACACATCTTTAGCGGTGCGTCATGCACAGACATTGACACGTATCATTGTAAGGCCATTAAAACCTTAACGAGAGACATCTTGGACCTGCGCAGATGTGGTGCGTAATAACAAATAGAAAAAATAGGCCAGAAGATTTTTTAATTAATTTCATCTGACCTTGACTAATTATTTTTAAGGACGTTAAAGATAAAATATAAAGGAAAAAGTCCGAGGGGTCGGAATTTGAATCCCGGTAGGGTCTAAAATTTTCTTCTACTTACGTCGTCCAGATCGTCCCCGAGGCCCACCCACCTTCCTAGCCAATGAGTACCGGGGGTAAAGAGGCCGGGGTGTGAAGCTGACCATTTACCTCCATCTAGTGCCGATGTCAAAAAATGCGTATTCGTACATACATTCCACTATAAGCTTTCATGACGTAGTGCTTAATTAGTTAAGAACAGAGAAAAATTTACCACATTTTATTTAAAATGTACTGTGGGAACCAAAATCTGTATATCATGAATTTTTTGAATTCAGGAAACTTATTTCCCGCACGGTTGCCTACTTAATTTATCATAAACTCCCCCCAAAATATTTGAAGATACTGTTATCATAAAATCCTTTCAAAAACCCTCACATTATTGTGTTGAGCTGTGCGCTTACGTAGCAGGTTGGCAATCATTGTGTCTCCTGAAGTCTCGCGTTTTCTCGTCTCGTAAGGCTCTGTGTGTAGGAGTGGAGCCACCTGTTGAGCAGAGCTTGAATCATTTCTTTGTTTTGAGATTGAGTGCCCCAGCTGTAACATTAAATCAATATTGACCTTCCTCAAGGTTTGTGTCATTTGTCATTTGAGTCATCTGTGGTTTGTCTCAATACATATTTACAAGCGGCCCGTTTTAAAATTTGTTGTTGAAGTGTCGTTGTTATTTATAGCATCAACAGATTTCGACCATAACCTTTAAAGTGAAAAAGAAACGTATGACGTGGAATAATGACTGTAACTATGTCTGAAGCTTCATTGATGTTACGTCATTATCAGATAGTGACGTAGATCCTTGCGTCATCATTAGAAAATTACTTTATACTAGTTGGAATATAAGATAGGAACATAAATCCCTATACCAGAGGTCTCGCTGAATACAGGATTTTTTTAAAGGTTGCCTACTCTGTGATGTAGTGGTCAGAGGTCCGGGTTCGATTCCGGCGCTACCGGATTTTCTGAGAAGTAGTGGGTGAGGAACGGGGTTCACTCACCCTCATGAAGATAACTGAGGAGCTACGTGACTGGAAACGTAGCGGCTCCGGTCTAGAAAAACGAAATTAACGGCTGTGGAGATCCGTTGCCCTGACCACGCGACATCCTCTATCCGCTAAAGTTGGCATTAACTTCGTTGGCAAGCGATAGTCGCTCGGTCGATAAGTTCACTTGCGGGCTAAAATCACAGAGTTTGTTTGGGTACTCAGTGTATGACGTACCATCGTAGAGGCCGTTAGCTTCCTTACTTCGTATTATGTTTGCCTAGAATCGAATTCCGACCCTTGAAGTCTCCTCAGCCTCTACAAGATTGATGTATCTTGAGTTATGATATCTTGTACTGTATTTTGGTAGGTGCATACCGGTGTTTCGAAAAAAACTTTCGCCTCCATCTTCAGGTTAGAATTCAAAATGAAATAAAGGAGCAAGTTTGTCGAAAACCTTGGNGTATTTAATTTCACGCAATATATGTAAGACAAAATGTTTATTGTTTCAAAAATAAATTGTATTCCTGTTAAAAAAAATTAAAAGTACTTACATTTTAAAACTATTTACTTATTTTGTGTTCCTCTGGACTGTATATTTTTTGTTGTTTTGTTGCCGTGGTACAGATATATGTACAATTTCTGGATGTTTTAGTTTCATCCTGCAGTCCCTACAGGGATTCAAACCAAGGTCCTCTGGAGCACAAGTCTAAGGGGGAGGTGCCCATTTAAAATCTCGACCGAAATTAAATTTGAGGAACTGAGGATAATATAAAACACTTCATGATATAACCCTTTTCGTGGTAAGACGTTCTAAATTTACCACAACATTTTGTTTATAACAATAAATAAATTTTGATGTCTCTCCTTCAAACGTTATTTCCTTAAAAATATTCCATAGAAACAAATGATAAACACGTAATATTGTTTCTCTTGGACAGATGAACAAATGAAATTGGTTAATTTTGCTGTTACATGCGTGGGTTCGATTCTAAGCCAACAACTTTCCCCCTTCTTTCCTCCTTAAGAACGGGTCCCTAAAGACAATGAATACGTAACCTTCATTTATTGTGTAGTAACCGTGGTAAAGAAACATGTTTTGAAGGTTGAAAAACGACACACGTTGTCGACTGAGTACCGGACTGTGTCATCTCTGCTTTTGGGTACAAATAATATTCTGTATTTTCCTGATACTCCGTATTATTTTCTACTATCTCCACACTTCCATAAGTTAAGCTTACTAGTAATTGTGATATTTCGAACTGTGGTTTACTATAAATCGCATGTAAAAAACAGTTGTTTCCATAATTTCAGACCCAGTTCCCCAAAGTATTGTGTTGATAGACATAGTACACTCTAGTACTGAGCCGACGTTGTGTATGAGTCCAAGAACCTGGATATTTGCGTGTAAGTAGACACCAGCATCAACAAAACATATTCCTTGTTTCAGATCAGGCTCTTCTATAAGCGCACGAATGCAAAAAGGAAAGAAAACTAATACTGATAGAAGGGGAAATGAAGAAGAAAGAAAAGTGAATAAAATATGTGGGAATGGGGAAGAAGGAATGAATGAAGTAGAGTAAAAATAATCATTACCGAATCTTCGAAATGTGGACACCAAAAAGAAATCCTCGGAAATCCCCGTACAATTAAAGAGACTGCAACAATAACAACGTGGAAAAATGGATTCCTATAATCACGGATCTCTCCAGACTTCTAGATGACATGACAGTAGACGTGTTGGGATGGATCGTAGTGTCGTAGGTTGCGAGAAGGGTGGAAGCTATTCAGGTCTGTGCCTATTTGAAGTCTTTATTTCTGGAGGTGTTGAACCCACGAGTTCAAATACTGTGCTGTTAATTAAATTCAGATTCACATTAAAAAACAAACAAACTTCCTGGTTTTAGTCCGCAATAGAACTATACCGACCGAGCGACCGCCGATTGTCGGCAAAGTTAGTGCCAACTTTAGCGGATAGAGGGTGTCGCGTGGTCAGCGCAATGAATCCCCATGGCCGGTAATCTCGGTTTTGTAGACCGGAGCCGCCGTTTCCTTGATATAGCTCCTAAATTATCTTCACGAGGCTGAGTGGACTCCGTTCCAGACCCACTACTTCTCGGAAAATCTGGTAGCGCCGGGAATCGAACTCGGATCTCTGGATCTCTAGCCAGGAACTCTGACCACTATACCACGGAGGCAGTCCAAATTCACATAAAGTTATATTAAATTTGAATAGTTAAAATGGTAAAGGTAAAGCTGTCCCTGTAACAAGCCGTGAAGGCCCGTAGGGGTGTGAGAAGTCGAGGTTCTCACATTTTCTAGACAATCGGCTCACAGATGGCAGTAAGGTTGTCAGCCTTACGCGCCAGCCGCCCTTTACCTCCCAGGAAGATTCCTGGTATTCATTTCTGTTAGAGAATGAGTCGGTCCCAGGGCCATAGTGCGGCTGGAAGGATTAGTTCAAATGAAAAATTCAGTGACCTCATCGGGATTCGATCCCGCGACCTTCCGCTTTGTAGCATAGTGTCTCAACCAACATGAATATGGCACAAAATTTAAGTACATATATTTATCGGTTTCCAGAAATCGAAGTCAATAAGAAAGAACTAACCTCAATCACTGGGCAACTGTCATTGATGTTAGCTTTTTCTAAGGGAACCAAATGAGTAGGTATCTTCCCCCAACATGGGGACGGAAAGAGATCCATTTTCCGAAACGTCATGTTTTTTTATTTTATAGAATACCGGACTATGGAAAAAATTTCAAAGCGCCAGTAATTCTGATTTTCTAGGAAGTCACCTGAATTTGTGTCCACACTGTATAGTATGCAGTATGCCATAAGGGCTAACCTCTTCTATACTAGGATCATCAGTGTTAACATTTTTCCGATATATTTCATTTCAGAATTTATATTGACTCTAAAAGAGACTGCTAACAGTAAATTTAAAGCTGTCCCCGCCCATAATTAAATAACTACCACGCCATGAAGACGTGTAAATCCACCAGTATTTAATTTGGAACTGGCTGGAAGTGAGTTTTCAGCTTTACGCCCCGACCGCTTTAGCCCCGGACAATAGAACCAGTACACACTTACTAGGAGGCTGTGTTTATCCCAGAACCGTCATGGGCGCTGTACAGAAAAGAGATCTCTTGCGCATGCGCGTCAATCGAGCTCTAATTCGCCGGTTTTCCACCTGTAACCTAGTCACTAAACCGACTGAGCTATGTAGGCTCCGAAAACCCGTGTCCATTGGGACAGAAGCGATGGAATTGGACATTTAAATTCCAACAATTCGGTTCCAGCTATTGCTGTAAGCACAGAATACCTCAATAGATACTACAGGGTTCTGACGATGGTGTATAACACACAGAGATACTTTGTTTTCGGACTTTGTCCATCGTCCGGATTCTAAATAACTAAGTTATTTAACTTAGTTATTTAGAATAGAATATCTCGTATCGATTTTATACCAGAATCGACAGATCGATTTCGGGACTTAACCGGAAGTGAGAGACTTTTTGTCTGTAGATTAGAATTCGTTGTAAGTTAAAATTAATGTGATTTTGAATAACGTTATGCTATGTGTTAAAATGTTGCAGTTGCCTACTAAGAAATATTTTCTCCTTAACCCATTGACATACACTGACGACTGATATAGTCCATTCCGACTGTGTTATTTAATCTGAATATTTTAAAAGGCATTGGATGAAAGTCGAAGCAGTTAATTTCAAGGGCAATACATGTAATAAAGTTGTACGGAGATTTTATTATTCATATTTTCCTAGTGGGTTGCATTAGGACGTTGTTAGCAGCGGTAAGTTCTGGACTTGTATTTGGGAGATATTGTGTTCGAATCTTAGCTGGGATATTGATTATCCTGACTCATGTATTTTCTGGTTTTATTTATTTCATAAAAACAAATGCTGTGATAGCAGCTCAGCCAGCTATCGCTTTTTTCGTAAACCCTTTCCAGTTTATCATTAATCTGTCATCAGACTGAGGTTATGTTGTCTTCGATATAGTGAGTGTCTTGAAATAATCCATCAAAATATCTCGTTAAAAATAAGGACACTTATAAGAAAGCGAACACAAAGTAAATAAAAGGTAAAGCAATCCCTGTAACAGGCCGTGGAGGTCAATACGTTTGTGAGACGTCGAGGCTCCCACATTTTCTAGACAATCGCCCCACAGATGGCGGTGATGTTGTCTGCCTTACGCGCCGGCCGCCCTTTAACCCCCAGGAATATTCCAGGTACTCATTTCTGTTAGATTCTGAATCTACACCAGGGTCATAGTGCGGCTGGAAGGATTAGGTAAATTGAAAACTCTAATGGCGTCATCGGGAATTGAATCCGCGACCTTCCGGCTTGTAGCTTATTGAAGAAAATTCACACACCGACGAAAATGTAAGATGAAACTGCACTGACACTATTAGTAACTGGCAAGTGTTCAGTAAAGTTGAGTTGGTGTAGATAGTGGGTTGCGGGCTGGATGACCAAGGTTCGATTTCTGGCCGGGAAAAACGTTACTTTTCTTCTCCATAATATCTGGACCGGCTCTGAGTCTGAGCTAGTCTCTTATAAAATGGGTCTCGGGGGTTGTTTTCCCTCAGGTTGAAGCGGTAGGGGCATGAATGTGACCACTTCCCTCCATCTAGTGTCAAGGTTCAGAATACCTCTGAGCTCCAAAATATATTCAAGGCGGGATACTTAATTCGTTAAGGTCGGGAGGATTGATGTTTGTTATAAAGGCTTTTTTATTTCCTTGGCACTACAGCCCCCGTGGGCCTAGGCCTACCTCCATGAACTTCTCCGTTCACTTCGGTTTTTCGAGATCTTACACATACGGTAGGACTCCTTGGGCGAGTGATCAGCTCATCGCAAGGCCTCTACCTGTACACAAACACAGAAAAACGCACACAAACATCCATGCCCTCAGTGGGATTCGAACCCACGATCTCGGCTTCCGAGCGAGCGAAGACAGTGCATGCCTTAGACCGCTCGGCTACCGTGACCGTCTTATAAAGGCTTGGTGTGACGTAAATAATAAACACCTTCACATTTAAGTGACAATTTTATCAAGAAAACTGGACATTAACTTCGCCGACTATCGGCGGTCGCTCGGTAGATATGGTTCGCTTCCGGACTAAAGGCCACGGAGTTTCTTTCTATCAATAAAAGCAGCAGAAATCGTTCCAAACTTTGACTTATTAAGAACTGTAAGTGGGTGTGTCATATACCGCAATCTTAACGACAAAAACGCGCGAAAGATTAACAGTCTATTGAATTTTATGCCCCCACAGAGGCGATTATGAATATTTTTTTTTCTGAGAAATGACATTGTATAGTCTGTTACATTTTTGCTCGTATATCGGAGGAAAACGCGTGTCAGGCCTTGATAAATACGAAACAAGCAACGTTCTACTCATTGGAACTGAAAGTTATCCCTGTGTTTAACTACTGATGATATTATAAAGGCGTATGGGGGAGTGGATGTATAGATCCACACTTTCTTGACCTCGGCACTAGTTGGAGGTGAATGGTCAGTTTCACGCTCCGGACGCTTTACTCCCGGGAAAGAGCCCCTGGTACCTATTCTATAGGTGGTTGGGTGGACCCCAGAGCCGGTCTAGACGAAATGGAGAAGTGAAAATTTTTACCCTACCGGGACTCGAATTCCAACCTCTCTCTCGTCCAGCCCGTAGCCAGTCGCTATACCGACTACTACTCCCAAGTTACTAGGCGACAAAATAAAACATTGAGTTGAGTGAATTGTTACATAAATGTCTATGAAGTTATTTCTTCATAATCCGAAATGTGATATTTATTTTAACACCAAACAAATATCACACCAATTTAAACAATATTCTACTTCAGTGCTGTCCAACGTTCTTATGTACTCGGGCACAATTCACTGATGCCTATGGAGGTGCGGGCGCCACCACACACTACTACTAGTACTTCTACTACTACTACTACTACTACTANCCAGGTAAATAAATTTTATTGACATGCGAAAAGGGGATGCTGACTTCAAATATTTAATAAATATTATTTTGCAACCTACCAAATAGGTTCCGAGAAATGTATCTTTATGAACTCTCTTCACAGTACAATTCCAGTAGGGACCGTTTCCACGAATATTTATGCGGAACCACTGTTAAGGCATGTGACTGTGTGGAAACAGCTACAACAAATCAGTGATTCGCTAAGACTCAACTACGAACTTCCCGTGTAAATGAAACCTAATATGACATCTGCTTTCAAACTTTCTATTCAAAATATTATATTATTTAGAAATAGCTAGTTATTCCCTGTATGAATTTAGTATCGAATATCGTAGTTTACTCTTCAGCGCTCTTATTTCGTAGTCGACGAATTTCCGTTTCGAATCATGACCCGATAATCAAATATTATGGTACATATATCCTGATTTTCCTCAGTATCTACCGGCAAATTACGGGCAGGTATCTCGAGTTGGATAACGCAGATAAGCTCCCTGTCACGTGATTAATAACTCTTCATTCGTGTAATAAATCTGGAGGCATAGAGATTATGTACCTAACCAAATGTCATTAAATTAACAAAAAAATGTTTAAAATGCGACAAAAATAAACATGTTTCTCCAAGTTGTGTCTCTATTTTTATGTGTTTCATCATATAGCTAGTGAAATACCAACAGAGTACTGAACAGGAAATCTCATTTCCTCCTGTATGCCTTTCCCATACAACATGATATCGAATGGTGTTTCGAATCCGACGTTTAAAGCCATCTCCAAAGATTAACACGCACAAATATGCAATTGTAAACCTTCACTGTTTTATGTCATACTGCATTTTTTAAAGATATCCCTGTAAGAGGCCGTGGAGGCCCATAGGATTTTGAGACGTCGAGGCTCCCACATTTTTCTCTAGACAGTCGCCTCGCAGATGGCGGTGAGATTTTCAGCCTTACGAGTCGAACCCCAGGAAGGTTGCTGGCACTCATTTCTGTTAGAGGCTGAGTCGACCCCTGGGCCATAATACGGCCGGAAAGTTTACGTCAACTGGAAAATCCAATGACTTCATCCGGAATCGAACCCGCGACCTCCAGGCTTGTAGCATAGTGCCTCAACCAACTACGATACCGCATGCCCCTTATAACACACATTACATGTTCATATTAAAGTAATATCAATACTCACAGAATAGACACGATATAGTGAAACAGTACTCTTCACTTGTCTATGACCAAATGCACGTTCTATATTCATGCAATGTGTTAATTCTTAAGAATTCCTTTCTATGGTTATGTGCAATTGCGCAATTCCAGAGCTTTCATTTGAACATTATGTCACTTTTTATATACATAGCATAAATATATATTTTATGTAAAGTATTACCTATTACAGGCATATAATACACACGTATATATAATTTATATAGATGTTAATTGCTGTCAGGTAGAGTTAATTTTTCCCTACGCTTGATTAAGCACGACGCCATCAAGGTGTATGGAGAAATGTATGTAAAGTTCCACGCATTCTCTACTAGTTGCGGACGAGCGGTCAGCTTCACCCCCCAGCCTCTTCATCCCCCGGGAAATAGCGTACATTACCCACCGGACTGCGGGCTGGTTGGGCCCCAGAACCGATCTGGACAAGATTGTGAAGAAAAATGCCCCCCTTGGGGATTCGAACCACTTTCCTCCTTCGTGCAGTCGCTATATTGACAGAGCAACCATATTCCCTTGTATGGCTGTAAATGACGTGTTCAAGAAGTTTCTGATTGTATTTTAAAACATATGAAGAACAGAACTGATATGGAATGTTAGCATCCAGTGCTAAGATGAGCGTGTTGTCAACACTTCGTTAAAGCGCCTACCTGCAGATGTCAGGATGTGCAGGAGTTGCAGCCAGTCTGCTTCCTCTCCAGTCGCCTTGATGACAGTCACTGTCCAGATCATCTCCTGCTTCTCCTTACAGGACTCGCGAGGCACCGCCAGCGACACTGTTTCTCGAGCGGGAGTCTCGTAAACTACATCACACACAGCCAATGGTAAAAACATTACATGTAAAGTACTTCCACTCTACGAACTACGATACGTCATACCTCGTGTAGGCAACTTTACAGGAAAAATGTCTGTGTAATTATAATTTAATTCCCCACCGGCGCAAGAGTCCCGGAAATATGTTGAAAATAGAATTTAATAACTTACTAATGATCACGTGACTCTGTACGTCATTAATTGCCGATGACGTATGGTTGTTCCCATAGTAGATAGAGTATATATGTATGAAGAGATTCTCTTATGAGATGTGACGCCATTTAGTCTAGTAGAAGTTTACCGACATTTCGCATGAATATATTTCTTCCATCTACAGAGCCGAAGAAAAATTCAAGCAATCATGCAGCTAACAACTACACAGTCTCCTTGCTACTCTTATATTTCGACCTGAAGACAGAGGAAATATGTTCCTGCGAAACGTCGGTATGTTTCTACCAGACTACACGGCGCTACAAACCAATCACTGCCATAAGATTGTCTCTCTATTTTTGAAGGTGAACGAAGTGATCGAAGGTTGAGTTTTCCTACGTCATATTCCGGAGGTCTCAGGTTCTATTCTCGGCCGAGCGGTTGTTTATCTTGACTCAATCTTCTTGTCATGCCTCCATCGACAGGGTAGAAAAGTAAACTGAGGCAGAAATCAAGGAAATGTCAAGCAGAGAGTGCTTGCTTCCGCTGTTAACTATTCGACCTTGAAGATGGAGATCGTATTTTCTTCCGAAACACCGATAAATATCTATCTGGCACTGTTGTTTTGTTTACTCTTCAATCTAGTACGTTTCTTCAAAATGTCGGTAAATTTTACCAGTCCTACTTGGCTTATATTCAGTACTGAAGATGGAGGAAATATGTTCCTCCAAAACGTCGTCAAATTGCTATTAATCATACTGAACTTGCTTACTTTTCGACCATGAAGATGGGAGGAATACATTCTTTCGAAACGTTGGTAAATTTCTTCCAGGCATTCTTGCTAAGCTTATTCCTATACTTTCAAATTAAAGGCAGTACGTTCCTCCGAAACATCAGTAAATTCCACCAGATTTTCTTGTTCGACTACTGAAGAGTTTCTCTTTCTGAAGTCTGCGTTTGAAAATGTCAATTTACATTCACAAAATTGTGTAAAATATAAATGTATTATTATCCGGTAATTAACCTAAAGGATTTATATTGTTGCCATGTAGACCCGTTGCTAGGTAACGGTCCGTAAACAGCAACAGAGAATAAGTGTTTTCTATAGGTCCGTGCCGAGATATTATAAGCAGGAGAGTTAGGGAGGAACCATGTTAGTGAAGTGTAGAGCAGTTGGTGAGTTAGAATTGCTGTAACTGAGGCCGGGAACAGTAAGGGAACCAGAGGATGGTGAACTTCCGCATTGAAAACCGTTACCAGACAACGACTGGTGAAGACACAGCAGGCTGAGAAGGTTTAAGTATGTGTTCTAGTGAACTGCAAAGTGTGTGAATTAGTGAAATGATACAGTTACTTGTAATCACTGATCTGTAATAGTTCAATAAATCTAATTACCAGTCACAATCCTGTCTATATTCACTCATACAAGTAACAATATCTTCTTCTAGTTGTTCGCTGCTATAAATTCTCCTACTCTATGAACGCACGTAGACAACCTTAACTAACGAACATCAGGAGCATAGTCACTGCTCAGCTGCTCAAGAACAGGAAAGAAAAGTCCTGTACAATTCCGTTCACATGTCACACTGGCATATAAATGCTGGGAGTATATCAAAAGTGTTATTATCTGACTTTCGTAATGATGACCTAACGGTTTAAGTCACTAAAGCAAAAGGACCCACCATAATTCTCATAGAAAATGAAGTATGTTATGGTGTCTCTTAAAAGTTTCACCTCATATTCTATCTCCTTTCAGGTCTATAAATTTTCCTTCTTTTATTTTATATGTGAGTTATTTTACGGCCCTTTCAGTATTAAGGTGATTTGGTATATCGAAGGAATATGGGCATGACCAGGGTTCGATTCTTGGTAAAGGAATTTTTTTTTCTGTTCCACAACATCCAGACGAAACCTGGGGGCACAAACATCCTCCTATACAGTGGATACAGGGGGCTATAACTCCAGAGATGAAGCGGTTAAAGCGTGAAACTGACCACTCACCTCCATCTTGTGCCGAAGTCAATAATATTGGAGCTATACTTCCACTTCACCATACGTCTTCATGGCATGGAGCTTGATTGATTTAGGACAGAAAACTTCACTTTCTTCAGCCTCATCTCTTTGAGTGTTGATACCTCATAGCCTCGAATGATCGATTGACACAGAATGGTGAATTACAAAATATTTTGGAGGAAGCGATCGAGCCCTAATAGGGGTCCTGCACCGAAATTTGCCTGTGGGGACTATGTATTACAAAGAAAAACTCAGGATTTCCGATATCCGTGTTGAAATTCGAACCTAGAACTCTCCGAATACAAGGCTGGTGCCCTACTTCTCAAAGAACCTGTTCTTAATTCCTTCTTCCCCGAGGTCTAGACTTCATTACTCTGTTAGGTAATAATACTATGTGGGATTGAAGCAAATAGACTACGAAATAAGTCAATACAGAAACAGCATTCCTAGGCGGAAACTTCGTTTGAGTCTTGTGCCTTGTAAACAACCTTCACATAAAATCTTTTCGAAATTTGTGATTTTATCGGCACAAAATTCGCAGTGGTTCCCTCAACAATCTCCGATCCGCAGAGAAAGCGTTTCCGACATATAACAAGAGATGTCGCTAGTGTACTATGTAGATATAGTGGATATTGGGCTGCTGGAACAGGGGATAAAATCCTCAATTTAAAAAGAACCTCTTGTCTCCACAGAACAGCGTGTATTTTCTTTATCTTTGGAGAATTTTGTTTCCAGATATGTTTGGTCCCTGATAATGTCTAAAGCATCTTTCAGGATGTATCATCATCAGAAAGTGAATCAGATCTTCGTGTCATTGTTGCGAAAATACCAGATTCAATTTTCAACACACGATTACAACTAGAATCGCCACATTGGGGGTCTCGTTGAACACTTCTAAGTTTTAGTTTGTCTATTCAATGTATGTACTGCCCCAAACATTTTTACAGAAAGAATATTACTTTATCTCCCGAGATATGATTTATATTGTAATAATAAATCTTTGAAGAAGACGTAACGCTCATATTATGATATAAATGCATATTCATGTACTCTAATTAAATACAAAATTTGTGAAGAAAGATTTGAATTACACCCTCAACCCTCATGACAATATTCCCACACCCATTTATTAACAGTGGTTACATTAATTATCTGAAAAAAGTGCGTAGTAAAATTAATAATATTACGTCTAACTGTGGCTAAGACGCGAGTTCGGGTTGGTAATTAGATTTATTAACCACCTACAGGTCGTAACTAAATTAATTATAACACTATTGCTGCTTCACACAATGTACAATCACTCCACATGAATCTCTTCAGTCTAGCTCCACTAGTCCTCACGGGTTTATAACACAGGAACCATAACAGTCTCACTGAATTACACACTCCCAATATTACACATGAATGAAGTCTTCTAACCACACGTTAAGTCTTCACAGGCCGACTTCTAGTTTCGCTTCAGCTACGAACTTCCGGTGAATATCTCTGCTTGTTTGTTCACGTGCTTCTGCCGCTGTAACTGCTTTACTTACATATTCTGTAGTCCCGAGTTGTGTGTGTGTGTGTGTATAAGGTGCGATAAATCCAATCATCCAACCCAAAACCCTTCTTATAAGTCACGCACACCCCCTCCAATCCTAACAGTATATACTTCATCTGAAATGGGATCGAGGGAGCGTCTAAGAGGAGATTGAACTCGAGTGATACTTGTTACCATTCAGTCCAGAACCTTTTGTCTTCTCGTCTGCTTTCCAAAAACATAAAAATTAGAATATACAAAACTATAATTTTCCTGTGGTTCTGTATGGGTGTGAAACTTGGTTTCTGACATTAAGGGAGGAACACAGACTGAGGGTGTTTGAGAACAGGGTGTTGAGGATATTTGGACCGAAGAGAGATGAAGTGACTGGAGATTAGAGAAAACTGCATAATGAGGAGCTTCATAACTTGTACTCTTCTCCAAGTATAATTAGAATGATGGAGTCAAGGATGACGAGGTGGGCAGGTCATGTAGAACGAATGGGGGAGACGAGGAATAGGAAACTGGTGGGAAAGCCAGAAGAAAAGAGACCACTGGGAAGACCAAGGCATATGTAGGTGGACAATATTAGAATGGATCTTAGAGAGATAGGATGGGATGGTATGGATTGGATACATCTGGCTCAGGATAGGGACCAGTGGAGAGCTCTTGTGAACACGGTGATGAACCTTCGGGTTCCATAAAATGCTGGGTAATTCTTGAGTAGCTGCAGAATTGGCGGCTCCTCCAGAAGGGCTCAGCTTCATGAGTAAGTAAGTAAGTAAACTTACTTACCAAAATATGAAATGTCCTGTTTCATAGACTGAATGTACCTTGTAGGGTCTGAGGTTCTCACAGCAATGCTTAACGCCTTGTATTCCGTTGAAAGTCAACCGACGTTTCGGGGGAACATATCACCTCAATCTTCAGGGTTGAAGAATAAATCAAGTAAGAAACCAGCATGAAGCAGGTAGAAAGAAATATTTATTGACAACTCTCTTGAGATTAGAGTTTATGTTTTCATTTTGTTGACTTTCAACGGACTACACGCCGCTATATCTCTGAAGACATAACTCTCGAGAATCAGCTCTGTGAGATTCTCAGGTCGCACATGAATTTTTAAACATGTGGAGATGTACTTCGAGTTTCAAGAGGTTAGATCTGAAAGAGCAATATGAAGCTGAGGATGATAACCTCGTATTTCTCGGA